CAGCAGACAGCTTCTCAAAGCACTGATTCTCAATGGAGCCAAACTCCTCTCTGTTATTATCAGACACGTGAACTAATTACCCTTGGATGTACTTTCTGATGCCACTTTACACTAGAAAGATTGCCTCATTAGCATTCAGTGGTCAGAAAGGCTCATTCCTTTATCCCGACGAGACTCTCAGCATAACAAGTAGAGGGCCGGGATCTGCAGCTCCAACCTGAATATTCTGATTTAGGGAAGGATTCAGAACCTGCTCTGCTTCTCGGCCTGATCCCATCTCTGATTTTTGCCGTTGGGTTTAGGTTCAGAGGAGCACCCAGCAGCCTGAATACTTTCTAAAATTTCTGGGATCTCTTTGGCTGCTGCTGAGGGCAATCAGCCCGACTCCCCGACCTAACGTAAACCAAGAATAGCACCTGTGATATCCCTTGTGATACAGCGCTCTAAAAATAAGGTGAAAGAAGAAACAGGCCCCCCCAAGAGTAGATTTTCTCCTGCCTTGCCAATTTTCTCCAGGAGTCCCAGACGAGCTTTAGCGTCGTGCAGGGGGAAGGTGAGGCACGGGGAGCAGGTCTTACTCATCAGCAGGTGGTTCTGTGCTGAAAATCCCAGCTGCCCTCTTCACCTGCGTGAAATTCTGCTCTTGTAACTCTGCTTTGGGATCGGGGCGGAGATGAGCAAAGCCTGAGAAGGAAAAAGCAAAGAATCTCCGGGGAACGTCCTGTCGTGATGGTATCGGCTACAGGGAAAAGACCCAGGATACCTGCGGATTGGGGAACTGCCAGGGTCAGCTGTGAGGGAGAGAAACTGGACACAACTGGGGAGCTTCAGCTGGGCCCAGTAGTCAGGCGGCGACGTGTCCTCATGCAATTGGATTGCGAGTCTGAAACAGCAGCTGGAAAATTATAGACTGGACTAGTACTCACAATGAAATCAGGCTCATCGTTGCCTGGGTTAGGAGTCTCTTAGGCACTCTGATTAGAATTTAATACGTAGAAAATACTGTTTAAATCAATTGAACCATTTACAGAGTAAGGCAAAACTCAGAAAGGACAAGAGTCCCAATGAAAGGAAATACATGAGCTTCATCTAACAGGGGGGTGTTAAGGCTTTTTTTTTTTTTTTTCTCCTCTTTACTAACGTGATTCTTGTAGAGCTGTGGATCTTCCCTGCACCAGGTCAGGACAACAGAGCTGAAACCAGAACCCTGACCGCTCTCCCCCAGGTTAGCGCGTGGTATTTGGCAAGATTCTAGACGTGCATTCTGACTGAGCGCTGGGAAGAGGTCACTGTAGCCCCAATATAATTGGCAGACAATTTGTTTACCTTAGTTTAATGCTATCCTATTATTATTCCACTGGCCCAAATGCTTTGCTTCTGTTATTTTTTTGTTCTAAGTTCTTGCCAGCTCTGCCACAGACGTGGGGCCAGCAGCCCAAGAAGTTCAGCCGTGACGCTTTCTTCATTACCGCGTGAAAGGCAAACGCACACGGGGTTTTCTCTTCAACAGAACATTAGAATTAGTGAATTAGCATTACCAAGATAAAACCCAGCTTGGCTGGCACTGGCCCACTCCGCATGGAGGCTGTTTTCAGAGCCTGGCTCCCTTTGATCGCTTATTGTTTCGAGACAGGTTCATTTGAATTTTTCACAAAGCCGCATCTGTTCACCTCTGAAAGATTTACTCCAGCTTTATATGAATTAAATGCACGAAGGTCCTTAAGTGCAGCTTGCTGGGGTCCTGAGCGTTCCTGCTGCAGCACCGAGCTGAGAGTGAGCAGGTTACGTGAGAGCGAGGAGACGGGTATCGGGTGGGCTGAGATTGACCTCCCTTCCTTGCATGAGCATAATTGCCCGGAGATTATTAGCGACTGTCTCTAAATCGTACGCCCCCCCCTACCTCTACAGATCCTTTCTGGCCATGGAGACTTAATGTTTCCCTACCAGAACTCAGGAATGTTTTGAAGACCAGACTCATGTCTCTCCGTGCTGTTCCCTCCTTACACTTCAGAGAGATGCCTCCACAAAGAAATTCGTCGTTGTGTGTCAGACGGATACATCGCACAGCCCGTCCTCTGTTCTCCTTTGTTGAAGGACCAGTTTTAATGTTTTGGAATTTGTAGGATTATTGTGGGGTTTTTTTTAACTTTGATGGAAGAATTGAATAAAAATGGGAAGATTTCATCCCAGAAAGGGTGGCAGAATAGCAAATGACACTCCGTTGTGTATATCGTATCCTATCTGGATCGCCTAGGGAAAGGGATCAAATTCACAGCATCCCCCCTCTCTTAGCTGTCACCGTTGCAATTCTTAGCAATAATCAATAAAGCCATTCCTTCTGCAGCTGCCCGAGATCGCAGCTTTTCTCATTAGTCAGCAATCGATATCGCCCCTCAAGTTAATAATACATTATGGCAGCGTTATGGCAGCTGGCCTCGGCCGTGTCTGCGACTGAGAAGAACGTTAAGGTTCCTTGGAATGGAAAAGAAGGCACAGGGCAGAAATCAATCGCATTGATTTCAGCAGCACTTTTGGAAAAGACTGATCATCATCTTCGCTCGCCCTGGCAGGAGGCTATTTTCACTCTTCGTTATTACAATCACAGGCCTGTCCAGGAGGAAAAAAAAAAGAGAATTGCTTTGATTTGCTCACCTGAAGCCTGCAGTAACAGTGCAAGCTGTGGGATAAATGCTCTGGGACGCTCAACTTGTGGCTTGGAAGCCATGGCTTGTGGTGGTCCCGGAGGATATTGCTGATGGGAAGAATTACGGTGTCGTAGTCGTGAGCGGCAAATCCTCCGGGCCCCGTTTCACGGATTGTTGTGTTTGTGTTTGCCAGTGACTACAGGTATGTGGCTGCTGCTCTCGCCGTCATGAGGAACGTGACTCTGCAGATCAACGAGCGGAAGCGGAGGTTGGAGAACATTGACAAGATCGCTCAGTGGCAGGCCTCCGTGCTCGACTGGGAGGTACGGTAAACAGCCCTCCTTCAGGGGCTATAAACCTGGAAAAAGTAAATTCCCTGCGGTTGTTGAATTATCCAAGACTGTGTAGTTCGTTTCCCAAGAACTGAATAGTTTGAATCTAGCCTTGAGATTAAGCTCGGGACAGAGGAAAGGGATTTACAGACTTCAGAGGTGGTAAATAAAATGTAAAATATTAATAGTACTCTGAAGGAGAGGTAGGGTCCGGTTCCAATTTCATCAGCAGAAAACTCAAATAACTTTTGCGATTGCGGTGCTGTTGTCCTGGGGGGTAAGTGAGGTTTGGATCAAACTCTGTGTGTGTCCTGGCTCTGTGCTTTGTTGTCGGGGGAAGAAGTAGAGCAAGAGGTAGCAAAAAGCCCGAGAAGTTGTGACAAGCTAAGAAAAGAGGGAAGACTCTTCTGGTGGCTGCTTTTTGATTAGAAGACAAAACATTAAGCTGAAGTTGGAGATGCTGTTTGCACATTTAAAATGAGTACCCACTTAAAGATATTGCTGAACCAACCCTGTGTGTAGCGATCGTATAATTAAGGAGCTGAGAAACACGGGCAAGGCAAAGTCAGCAGAGGGATTCCTCCCGAGCAGGCTTCAGTCTCTTACAGTTTTGCCACGTGTTTAAAAAAAACCAACCATATGATAATTAAGTTCTCCTTTTCTTTTCATCCCTGATTTCTGTTTTTATTTTAAAATCATTGCATGGATGTGATCTGTAAATGGGGTTTTTGAAGCCGACCGAGGGCAAATGTTTTTGTAAAGCCCTCTCTTAGGTTGTCATCAATCCACGCGTTTAGTGAGTGGAGGGATGGAACAGCCTTTCTTCTTCCTCACAGTCACAAAGAGCTGGAACAACCCCACGTTCAAGTCAATGGGGTCATACTGGGTAAATGAGCAGGTGGGAAAGATCCTGTCATTTTGTTTTCGGATTAGATCTAGGAAGGCTGGCGAGGAGGGGGAGAGAACTACAGGTGCATCGCCTCCTGCTTGTGTATCTTCCTCAGCTGAATTAGTTTCACTGCCATAACGAAGGTTGGGTTCAGCCCTGGATCTCTTGATAAAATGTATAAATGCAGCAATCGTAGCTGGCTGTGCGAGCTGAGAATGCAGATGATTTGCTTGATTGTTTTGTTGGGGTTTACTGCGAAGGAACCTCTGTCTCGCTGGCACGCAGGCTCATGTTCAGAATTAGGAAACGGCTCTCGAGGAGGCTCAGGACCATCAGATACATCTTCAGCCTTTGGTATATTCCATGTGACGAGCCGACGTGTGTCGTTTGCAAGAAATGCCGAGACTCTCCTTGTAAATAAACCTAAATTAAGGATGGATCAATTCCAAGTCAGTGAATATTCATGTGTGAGTGGGAAGCCAAGGTGACCTCCACATAGGATCTTTTTCTCTTCCATTAGCTCAGTTGATAATTCTTTTTTATTTAGCCATATCCTTGATAATTCATTCCCGCTTAGTAGTGCGCGTGCTTTATCTCCGTCCTGTCCTCGAGAACTTGCCAAATCATTCTTCCAGTCTTTTTTCAGCTGTTCCAAATGTTAAGCACAATATCGCAGCAACATCCTTCAGCTTCTCCGAACGTAGCAAAAATGGCTGTTGCCAGCGCTCGGAGATCAGGTGGGAATACAGCTTCTGTGCCCCGTTCGAAGGAAAACACCATTTTTTTCCTGTACTTTTGGTGAGGAAGAGTCACAGAGCTGTGATGAGAACACTAGAGGATGAGAGCTGGATCCAGCAGAGGACTCGACTGCTTGTTTCTTTCCTCTGAAGTGACTTCGGAGTCATCAAATCCAGCCCCCACTTCACAGACGTCCGTGTAATGGCCAGAAGGATGCACAAAAATCCAGAATACTCACAAGTTAGCGGAAGGTGGGAGGAATCAAAAGCAGCACCAGATGCTTAGATGTTCCCTAGATCTGTGCAGATGCTCTCTTTAGGCATTGCAACCCCAAGGTGCTAACCTCCAAAAACCCCCTGCTCGGCTGGTGCCTGGTGTAGGCCTGTAGGTTGGGCTTGATGATCATAGAATCGTAAAGGCTGGAAAGGACCTTTAAGATCATCAAGTCCAAGCTACAGCCCTACGCCCACCCTAACACCAAACCATCTCCTGAAGTGCCACATCCAACCATTTTTTGAATATGTCCAGGGATGGTGACTCCACCACCTCCTTTGGCAACGCATTCCAACACTTCACCGCCCTTTCGGTGAAGAAGTTTTTCCTAATATCCTAATATCCAATATCCAGTGATCTTAAGGTCCTTTCCAACCTTGATCTTTCTATAATTCTATAGGACACATCTCCCAGGACACAGGGCAGCAGGGGTCGATTTCTTACCCAGCCCACAGGGCTTGGGGTCCTCATCTTCCCCGCATCGGTGGCTACGGGGTGGAAGAAAGATTTCCTGGCCTCTTCCAGTCTGTGGGTGACACGGGTTTATTGTCTGGGTCAGAGAGCAGAAGTCCCCGACTCCCAGTTCGTCTTTGCTGGAGGACACTCAGCTGAGAGCGACCTGCTGGTCACCCTTGTGCTTCTGCAAACGCTTCTTTGCTTTGTACGAAGTGCTCGCGGAAACGTGTAGCCGGGGTGGACAGCACAGCCTGCCTTGAGACGATCTGAAAAAAAAAACTACCATGAATTATGAGAGGAGCAGAAAATAGGAGAAAAAATTATCACTTCAGACTTTTTTTCCCCCAAAATCCAACCAGGGCACAAGACAGAGATAATCCTTAACTGCCACTGTATGTTGCTCTTGGTGATTGATTTCAGTGGCAACCAAGGCACATTGAAACCTTTCATTTGGGAAATGTCAGGTTTTTTCCAACATCTCCAGACTAATGATGTTGCCTTTCCGATTTGAAAGTGCCTTTGCATTTCTAAATTTACCCGCGTTTTGCCGTGAGATGCTGGAAGAAGATCTTTCTTTTTTAGAGAAGAAAAAAATCCAAACCAAATGAAAAATATTTAGTGAGCAAATATTTGAAATGTTCTTGTGTACAGAGTATGTGTACACATTTTCTCACAGGGAGAGGGTGTTATTGGGAATGTATACATATTGCTGCTCCTAAAACAAATAGAAAAAGTAGGGGACATGTCCTAGCTAATTTAAGCAGAAGAGATTTTACTTAATACCATGGAGTTGTGCCTCTGTGTTTCAGGGATCGTTTTTATCCCTTGAGACTATTTGCAGGGCTCCTCGAAGGCGAATTTCAGGGTCAGCATTTGAAAAATGCGAATATCCTTGAGTTAGCCAAGGCCAGATTTTTTATTTTTATTTTTCCCAAGAAGTCTTGTTACCAGGGTCTGATGATTTAAATTGCGAATGGGACCAGGAAGGGGGTGGCCTGACTCCAGCGGCGGCTGCTGTGGCAGCCCAGGCGTGAAGTGCTAAGGAATTATTGGCAGCTTTATACAAGTAATGACTGAGCAGGATCGGAAGGGACGATTCCGATCTCACTGACTGCTACAAATTAGAAATCAACCCAATCGCTCTGAAACATGTCCCCGTGTCCCTTGGTAGGAGCGTGGTCTGGGTCAGACTGTTGCTGTGTATGACTCACTTCTTTATTTTAAAACCTGGATTTTCAATATATAAACAGACCTAGAGAGGTGCTGCCCCTGCCTACCCCGAATTTAGTGCCTTTTGTCCTTTCTGTCGCTGCCGGCGCAGGATGTAGGGCTTCCCCCGCCTCCCGCCGAGACCTTCCCACGTCTGAGAGCTCTCATCGCTGCGAAGCGCTTGCTGATGTTCCACCTCTGGTTCCCTTCGCTCGGCGCCATCCCCTTGATCGCCGTTAAACACCCTCAGATCGGAACGGGGACATTTAAAGGCAGGCAGGCGAAAGTAGGGTTGAAAACAGGCTGCAAAGCCTCCTCTGGATCAGACTTCAAACAGGCAGCCTTTCCATCCTTCTCGTGCTCTTGCCCTCTGAGAAAGGGGTACAGCTCTCACAGGTTAGTGCGTAATATCCACATATACACACACACGCGCTCCCCTGCCAGTACTACATAGAGATTATTTCCACAAAGCCCATCATCATTTCTAAGTGCTCGGAAGCCAAGTGGCGGGATGTTTGGCACAGGAGAGAGCCTTGCTCGTCAGCCTGGATTAGTCTTAGCTTGCTGTTTAAACAGATTGCTTTGGTTTCTGTAGATACCTAGATATTTCTACCAAAGGCTCCCGTGGGTCGCCACTTGGGCAGGTTTCAAGAGTATTAAATTTGCATGAAGGGAAAAATGCGTGTAATTGAGAAATATAACCAACACTGGCCTTTTAAATTTCTTCCGACTTGTTATTTACGGGTCCTTTAAATTGAGACTGGATGCCCTTAATTATGTAATATATAATAGTTGGCCTCAGCCTAATATTATGTTATTGAATCCAAGAATGACAGGGAGAAAAAAGCTGCACGCAAGCAACGCCCTGTTTTCAAAGTGAGCACAGCCTGATGAGAAATCCTCCTGGGGAAAAAAAATCGCATCAGGGACTGAAACAGATTCTTTTTGGTTTTTCTTTCCCCGGCAACAGAAGGTATCAGAAAATGAGCCTGATGAAAAGGACGACATTGCTCTTGCTTTCCTGTTTTCTGATCTTTCTGTAGCCCAGAGTGCTAATCAGCCTGTCAGTCTCTAATTAAAGAACAGCAGAGGAGAGCCCAGCTCGCTCTGTGTTGGCTGGTAAAGGGGGGTTTGTGGCCAGCAGTGACAGCAGAGCCTTGTGAGGAGGTGGCCTTGGGTACGGGAGAGCAGCTCCGATGGGCTGATGAGCGTTCCTGAGCCCAGGACAGCATCTGCTCAGGGATTGCTCGCGGGAAGAGGGAGCGGGGTGGACGGTGAGGTCCTGCCTACATCGGTGTTGCCCACAGCATTTCTTCCATGACACCAGTAAAAACCCCGTTGGTTCCCCCAGTTACAGAGAGCGGTGGTCACCTGTAGCGTAACTGGGAGCCGACGAGCGTTGTCTTTCCGTCGCAGCAGCGGAAGAGCCGACCCCGCGCTGCGGCAGTCGGGATGAGCCCCAGGACTTTCTGTGTTGTTCCAGCGCTGGCAGAGCTCGAGGGAGCGTGAAGCACACGGCCAGCCTGGATCTGGGCGACCTTCTGCTCCCGTTACTGCACGCTGAGTAGCTGCACTCTGCCTGTGACTGCATGGAGAGGAGTCAGCTTGCTTTTTGCTGCCCTTTGTGTGTAGCAGGACGCACGCTGAAACCCCTCGGTGCGTTTTTTATTATAGGATTGCGCAGGTTGGAAGAGACCTCGGGAGGTCTTCTGGTCTTCTCTCGGCCTTTTTGCTGCTGTGCTCTGCTGAAGTCAGTAGGACATCTGCCAGTTCAGAGTGACTGAAAGTTCAGCCTCTCCCTTTTTTAGCAGTTTCTCTTAAGTTACAGAGGGATATAGATGATCCAGCCTCTCTTGCAAGAAAACGGAAAAGGAATTTTTTCCTAGTTTTGTATAGGATTGGGTGGATCCAGACTGGCTCTAGAGAAGAGAGGCGTTGTGGAACGTCCATGGAGGTACGGTGTGCTCCTCGTGCTAGCGGTGGAGCAGAAAAGCAGACTCTTCCCTCCTTGCCCACCACCCCGCAGCCAAGCCCCTGAGTGCCCCCGGGAGGGATGCTGCGCCAGCAGAAGACACTTCATGCTGTGCCAGAGAGGTGGTACAGCTGTGTCGGAGGGGAAGAAAAAAGGTCTTCTGAGGTTCGTCACATCTGCTCCAGCAGCACAACCACGCTGGTGTGTCCTGGTGGCTTGAGGAGCAGGCAGGGCTGTGAGATGCTGCTTGTGGGGCTGTGCGTGAGTCCGAAACTATTTGCGAGCTGTTTCCAAATTTGCTGGCCCAGGCATTGGAAATCACCTGTTTCTAGCCGGTAGACTGTATATATGAATTATTTTCCCAACATAAAAATACGCAACACGAATCCTCTCATTTCAGATTGGATTTTTCGTTGTTGTTTCCGATTGCTTGCAGCGACTACACAGCTTGGATTCAGCTAATCAAGTAGAAGTGTTTACAGAGTCCTCTGCCTGTCCTCAGGCTTTTGAGACGCTACCACAGGAGTAAAAGACAAAACTGGCTTTCTATTTTTAGCTGCCAGCCTTTTCCAGGCTCGCCCCCTCTCCTAAAACCTCCAATCTATAGGCTTGTGTGAATTGTCTTTGTGTAAACTCATGGTTCACCAGGAAAGCCCACAATTTCTGGAGCTGGTGTGTTTTCTTCAGAGGCTTCTTGTTCAAGGGCTTGTGTGGATGCAGCTCCCTTGTTTTGGGACACAACACTCTTGAGCCATCCTGTGATGAGGACCTGGGAATTTATCCTTAATTAGGCCTTTGGATACCACGGGGCAGAGATGTGGATAAGTACCTGGCTAAGGAGATTTGGAAGTCTGTGTTGATGCAGCGACTTAATGAAGTCACCGTTGTCACAGGGCGCAGGGACTCCGGCAGGCGCTTCGGATCAATGCCGAGAGGTTAATTGCACATTTACCTGAGCAGCAGTCTGAGATCCTCACCCGGAGAGGAGGAGCGGGGATGGCTCTTGCTTGCTTTGGCTCCTACGAGGGGAGGCAGCACCAGCAGAGCGTGGCCATCTAGCTGCCCCCCACACCTGGCTGAACCTTTGCAAGCTGTTTGCTGAGATATACTGGGTTGGTCGTGTCCCAGAAATTGGTTCTAGTTTGCAGCAAAGCCAGAACCGCACAGGTTTCAGAGCCAAAAGGAAGGGGGAAAAAAAAAAAGAGAAAAAAAAAAGCAGGTTTTCTCTCACTTGCTTCTGAACCCTGCTCCTCACCTTCTAGCTGAAGTCATCCTGTTCCCTTCTGTGGTTTTCCAGCATGAGAGACACGCCGAGATGCCCACGGGGCAGGTGGTGGTGAATTCACCCATTTATAATAAATAGATTTTAATTAACTTTTTAAAAAGTCCAACTCATCCCAATTAGTGGAGGGTGACTACATTTGTTCTCTCCGAGAGTGGAGGGGGAAGAGAGAGAGAGAGCGAGCGCTGTGTTTTCAAGACCATCTGCTCATGAAGCCTTAAAAAAAGCTAAAAAAATCAGAGAGGAAAACAAGCGTTAGCCAGAGGCAGGGAAGGGGCGAGAGCATTCTGGCAACTGGCCGGGGACGCTGTGCCAGGGGTGGGCACCGGAGCCAGAGGAGCCGGGGTGGTCCTGACAGGATTTTGGAGATGGGGAGCTCTAATGAGCGCTGGGAGAAGGGTCTGGAATTGCCTGAGGAAAGTGGGACAACGGGCACCAGTCTGGAGGGGTGAGTTTTGGCAGCCCCCCAGGTGAGGGAATCGATGTCCCGGCGTAGATGACTTCGATTGCTGGCCCGGGGTGGCGGGAGGGGACATTGCTTTGCGGCTGCTGTTTGACAGGGGAGATCCGGGGTCTGGGGGGACCTGGGGAGGGGCTGCAGGATCTGGAGCAGCTCTTCCCTCGTTGCAGTGTGAACCATCATGACCAGGTGGCCACACTTGATCCATTTATTTCCCTTCCTTCAGAATCAACCCCTATCGCCCCTTTCTGGAGCAAGCTGGGGTGGCTTTGAGAGCTGCGGAAGGGCCAAAATGTGAATTAACGGTTGCTTCTCCCCATCCTGCACAGAGAAACGTACCCACCGCCCTGGCTGAAGCTCACTCGGCCTCATTTTCTGTGCCCTTCTAGGGAGACGATATCTTGGACCGCAGCTCGGAGTTGATCTACACGGGAGAGATGTCCTGGATTTACCAGCCTTATGGACGGAACCAGCAGCGTGTTTTCTTTCTCTTTGATCACCAGATGGTTCTCTGCAAGAAGGTAAGGACATCCAGGGAGAGAAGCAGCACGGCTAAGGACATGCTGCGGACAGGCTTTCCAGTCCAAAGTGGTTTTTAGGGCAAGGTGGCTGCTTGCTCCACGTGCGGAAGAGGACGTGGATAGCGCTGAGGAAGGGCAATATGCGTGCGAGAAATACTGAATTATGGGGTGATGAGTATTCCGTGAGAGGGGGGGTTGTGTTCACAGCAAATCCAGCCTCCACTTGTTCATTTCATGCCTTTTTCTCCTTTTTCCCCATGTTTGGCTCGTTGCCTCAACTTCTACTTTTGGGTTTTGGCGGCTGCGTGTGA